TATCATTATACATGGATTTAATCATGATATGCTTCAATCATTACTCATTTGAATGTTTATAACATGAAAAATTTGCAAAAATCAGTTCTGTCCCTGTCCATTTACTGCATTATGTACTGCAATATCCGAATACTTTTTCAAAAGTATTCGAATACTTTCATTGTCCAAAAAGTATTTGAATACCATTCGAATACTTTGCTCTCATAGAAAGTATTCGAATACCATTCGAAAAGTATTGAATACTCCTGCATTTATTGCTCTAATTTGGGTTTTTATTCGGATACCCCACCCCTCATTTCACAAATCATCCGAACCCTAAAACTCTTCTCCTCGTTCTCCACTCCTTCACTCCTCCCAGGTATGTTCTTCTGCACCAATCTTTCACTTTATTTTTATTTTTTTCGTTTGAATGTTAAACTATATGCATACATTCTGTTAGAGTTTAGGGATTGAACCATTAAGTCTGAACCGTAACTTAGTTTTCTTTGATTCCTCCATCAAATACTCTAGGTCTGATGTGTATACATAAAAATATAATACATGCATCTATTTTCGTTCTGATCCTGTATTGTAGTCGTTGTTCTTTCAAGCTTTGGTTCATCCTCACGAACATCTCATATTTATTGGGCTTCTGATGCATGAGTAGTTGAATACTGTTGAACAGTATTCGAATACTTCTCCTTCGAGGAAAATATTCGAATACCATTCGAAAAGTATTCGAATACCTCTTCCAAAGAGAGTATTCGAATACCAGTCAAGAAGTAGTCGAATACTTAGGCAAAAGTATCCGAATACTCATAAAATTATTCGAATACTTACTTCTACAGTATGCTTTTCTGCTATTTTTCTGGTGCTGCATTTGTGAATTTTTGGTTTCTTTATAATCTCTAACTGCCTATCCATTCTGTCAACATATTATCATCACACAGAATCACTCTACATTATTTTCGATTGATTTATGCTTGATTCTGTCTAATTACTCTTTCTTGTGGGTTCTAATTCTTCAGGTACCCTCATGGCTAGCTTATCCACTCCGCATCAGACTCGCTCGAAGTCTATCCCTGATCTTCCCAATGCTAAGGCCTCTGACTTTACCCGCTATTTCCCTAATGACAGTGCTCGGCAGAAGAAGTTTGCCACCTACTATCTCCGCAGACGCATTATTGAACCGAAATATCTTGATTCTGCATTCTTTACGGAGCAAGGCTTTGAGATCACCACCATTCTTGAGCGGGTCCATCTGTTGGGATTTGTAGAGCTTCATCGCCCATATATTAAGCCCATGGTTCGGGCCTTTTTATCAAAGCATGTCCTACAACACTCTTGTGCTGCAATCCAAGGTGAAGGATGTCACCATCAAGATATATCCACAGGATTGGACCAACCTTATTGGTTTTGTTCGCTTTGGGGATCTTGAGTTTGATGGCTCTTATTATCGTAGCTATGAGGAGTACCAGAGAGAAGACTTCATCTGATCCATTGTTAGAGAAGGCATTTACAAGCCTGGCATGGTCAAGTTCTCTCCATTATGTCTGAAAGTGCCCAACTGAATCCTACACTATCTTGTCACCCATGTCATCTCACCTTGCAGAGGTAATCATGCTGTGGTGCTTAACACTGATCTGTTTTTTATGTGGGCTATTCTTCATAGGGCGACCATCTATTGGCCTGATACTATATGACGCATCATGCTCACCGTTCATCATCATCAGACTTCTCCTCTTCCATTTCCTATGCTGGTTCAGGCTATCATGGAGTACAGCCAGGTCCCCATGATTGGGGAGGCAAAGACCACACTGAAAGACAATCATCGAATTGCAGGCACACAACTGAAAAAGTGTAGCCTTCGCCAGATACCAGGCGAATGGGTATACTTATCCACTGCTCCTACTGCTGATCCTATGGATGAGGATGCTCCTGTTCATGATGATGCTATTCCTGTTGCTGCTACTGCTAATGCTTCTACTACTGCGGATTCCTCTATCCCTCAGGCTCCTCCTCGTGCACATGACCGACGTCCTTGCACTCTCGACGATGTCATGGACTATCTAGTTGACATGAAGGAAGCCATGGGCAGTCGTCTCACCCGCATCGAGCGTCATCTTGGCCTGCTTAACACCTATGACGGTGCTGAGGGATTTTCTCCTCCTGGCTCCCCAGAGATATGACACCTGTAGTCACTTTCGTTATGCATCGCTATCTTTTTTATGTCACTGACCTCTGATGCTGACTTTTACTTTCTGGGGTTTATTTATTTTATCTAGGTGGATGTTGATCTTTTTGATGACTATGACTTTATCTCTATCTTATGATGATTTGCATTTCAATTTCCTACTTGTTTTGCTTTGAATTATTTTTTTGTTTTTGATGTTGCCAAAGGGGGAGAAGCAATTGCAAATTGAGAAAAAGAATATAAACTAAGGTAAAAAGGGGGAGCACAATCATTAAAGGTAAAAACAAGGTAAATACATATCTAGAACTCCTCTTTTTCAACTATCCACATATTAAGCGGGAGTCCTAGTATCATCTTATCAAAATACATACTACGCTAACCCTTCTTCTCAATATGAGTTTGTCATCATCAAAAAAGGGAGATTCTGAAACTAATGCGCTTAAAATGAAGAGTTCATTTATACAAGAGTTTTGATGATAACAAATAAGCATAGAAGCGACGTCAAAGATAATACAACTCGCAATAATCAAAAGTCCAAGGAAGCAATTCAAACAAGACAACAAGAGAAAATCATTCAACACTCAAGATCAAGATAGAAACATGCTCTTGAGAGCTTAGATCTAAATGTAAAGGTAATTGATTAATGATGCATAAATGAGCTCAAAGGATATTTAACTCTATGCATGCATTATCCATGTCATCAATCACTTGAAAGCTTCAATTATTATGAAAAAGACCCTTGACATATTTCGTAACCTCAAAACATGCTTTACAAGTCAAGGAAATACATTAAAAGTGATTAGAGACGAAAAGGAATGCATTATGTAACAGCCCGTTACGTACCGGTATTGTTAACATTAATTATGATATTAAGCGCAGTTACAATCACAGCAGTTCATTTATAAAAACGAGAATAAATTTTTTTCGACTATTACGCGAGCATTTAAATCATAAAAAGGCGTAATAATTAAAAGCTGTGACCGTAACCGTAAACTCTTGCGGAAGACTTATTTAAACTGTTTTTATCACTTACGTTACTTATTATAAGTTACTAAGGAGTTCCCATAAACTCACTTAGCCAATTTCCAACTTTACGTTTTATACCAATTCGAACATGTTACACTCTAAGTTTTTCTGCGACCAAACCGATCGCAACCAACCCTACTTCTCAGATTATATCTTTGTGTTACTTAATTCCCTTTTTAACAAGCTAAAATACGCTCAATTCGGAGCTCATTTGCTCCGGTTATCGCCGTTTGAAGTTGGATAAGCAATTAGCCCAAACAACCCCAAAAACAGCCCAAACCACTCACTTTGCCCGAATTACTGCACTCAATCGACTCAACCATTTGCTCTCAAATTTTTATCCTACAAACTAGACATCTCAAACTTCATTTTGATATATCACACGCTTAATTTGACGGAGAAACGAAGCGGGAATTAATTTCCCAAATCCGGTCCAGAATCTGCCTCAGGTGCAGGGGCACATGGGCAGTCCGTGTTTCTCTATTTATTTCAGGCCGAAGATCAACCCAGAATTTCCTCAAATTTTGACACAAGGTAGAGGACATCTCAACCTTCAAAATGACGTATGGCACGTCCCTAGGGGACCTCTATAGAGGGAGATATGCTCTTCCGAAGTTCGCCTAAAATCTGCCAATTCTACAGAAAATTCGCCAGAGTTTCCTTTGTTTTTCCAATAATCCCAATTTGTAAAAGATCATTTAAAACCTCAATGTACCTAATAAACACATGATAATACAGTAATAATCCAATGGGTGGCACACACAAGGACCAACAACGCCTTGGGGCACTTACAACCCAATCCAGTTTATAGTTATTAAACATAGAGTCCATATTAATCATTCTTAAGTAGTTGCAATCACTAACACCTTTTTCATGCATATTTCCATCATACATATTATCATAACCTAAAATAGGCCTAAGGCCCTTCCATCATAGTTAGACATGCATCAATACTATTACAATATGGCTTTACAAATTACAACTTGAAACTAAAACTTCAAATTACATTCTTCTAAAATTTCAACTTAATTAAAAGACAACATAACCAAATACATCACTACTAGACTTAGGCAAAATGGCATGAACAAGATGCTAATGAAGCTACTAATAAATACAAATGACATGTTCATGCCCTAAGTATAACACCTCACAATTTTAAATCAAGTAATTAAAATATTAAGTGAGCAATCAAGTGATGGATTAGTGAAAATCCAAAAGATTAGGCCAAAATACAAAGAAAGGGCAAAACGGTAATTAGCCAACACGCAACCCTAGGAAGATAAAAATTGAGTAGAAGGTCTCAGATGGTAAAAATAACCCTGGAAATGGGTTCAGAACGAAAAATTGAGTGGACAGGCAAGTTTCAGAAAAATCAGTGAATAGTGTTTTTCGCGGGTAAAAATACCGCGGTACGATTGCACCGTAAAACGTGCCGATTGAGTTTTGAGCTCTAGGTTTCAAATATGAGTTGTAAATGTTTTTTTGAGTTAGGAAATATGATTTTGATGAAATTTGATGGAATTGAGTCATTTTGGGAAAAATTGATGAATAGTGATTTTCCGGTGTAAAAATACTGCGGTATAATTGTACCGATAAGCGTGAAAATTTTATCAGTATTTTTGGGAAACAAAAATATGACATGAACAAGAAAAATATGTAGGTCATGAATTTGTGGTTGAAATTAGGTGATTGATTAAAGTTAAAACGCGTGTGGGACCCGCCTGTGACTTAAGTGAGTCAAACTCACCTTTTTTTTCACACTTTCTCTCTCCTCCCTCTCTTCTCTCCCGCGTGCAGCAGCCCCTCCATGGCCAAGAATTGCTCAAGCTTTCTTTCTTCCATAACTTGGTCAAATCTCCACCGAATCCAACGATTTTTGTCTTGAAACTTGTTGGAAAACACCTCCTAAACACATTGGTACCACTCTTGAGCCTTGAAATCGCGTGTGTGAGGAGATCTTGGCCATTTACAGCTGCGGTTTTGGTGAGGAATTTTGTGTTCTTGGAGCTTCCAAGTGCTCCAATGGTGGAGTATAGTTAGGAGGAGCCTTGTACCTTCCATTTGGGTGAGTGTTCTTGCATTTTAAATGGTTGATGGTGATGATTTGATTTTGAAAACCTAAACTTTGATATGATGAATAGTGACGTTAGAGAGCTCAATTTGAAAATGTGTATTAGATGATAATGTGTTAGAATGATGTATTAAAGCTAGAAATGCGATGAAATTTATTGGTGAAAATTGATGAATTTAACTTAGAAAAATTTGATGATCATGATTTTGGACTTGTGAATTTTGGTGTTGAGACTTGTTTGATGAATTGTGGCATGATGGTATGATGATATGATAGGTTGTGTGAAGGTTGGAGTGATTAAAATTGAATGGAAATTCTTTGGAATGTCATAGGGCAAGATTCGAACCTTTGAGGAAAAATGAGTGAATTGATGATGAAAAATGATTTGGATGATGATTTGTGTAGTTATATAGTGCTTAGATGGGTTGTGTTGTGATTGGCAAGTGTTAGAATCAATGGAAAAATAATAAGTGGTTTAGTTGGCATAAATGAACCTAGAGCGAAATATTTAGCGAAACGATGCTTAAAAGACATAAAACGGCGAAACGACAGTTGAAATGGCCTTATGGCAACCCAAGGATGGGTACTAAAATGAGAAAGAAAATTTAGAAAAATAAATCTCACATTTACACTACAATGGCCGAACCATCAAGGGAAGATGGGGAGGATTTTTGTGTTTTTGCGTTTTGATACTATTTGACGAGTACTGATGGATGTACGTTATTGTATAGGTTGCCGTACATCGACCTGAATCCCGAATCTTGAATCAGTAAATTGCCCTTGGTCCGGGACCAAGTGGATTGAGGTAAGAAATTGGTTCATTGCATGTGTAATTATAAATTAACATGTATGGGTTGAACTGAGAGTGATTGGGAATGTCCTCTGTGTAGGCATTCCGCTGTGTACCGAGTTGAGGGATAAGCTGCTACGGAGCTTGTGGAAACACGAATTAAGGTAACCTCTTGGTACTGGGGCTTGTTCCCCTTTTCTGTTCCACCTTGCCAGTTGATGGCAACGGTAGGAAGTGTGTATGAATAGTATAGAACACATGAGCATGCATGCATTATTGCTATGAGTACTGCGGTACCGAGTCTCTGGCCAGTAGACAGTTTTATTAGCCTTCGGGCATTTTCGGACTTCCGCTGGATAGGTCTCCAGGAGGGAGTTCCAGTTGACTGCGGTCATGGTGTGTGATCCGGGTAGGAGCACACTAGGAATGTCTTTGGCGTTTTGGTTGGTTTGGGCATCATGGTTGTGGTTTCTGTGAACACACCTTGGATGATACCCATAGGCTTATATATGCCGAGGGCGTACGTGGAATTGGGGTTACCATCCCGTATCGTCGTATTTTGTTTTCTTTATATTCCCCATTCTCTAAATCCCTTGCTATACCCCGTTTTCAAAGTGGTTGTTGTATTCTATTGATATGCATCGAAGTGAACCATTGGGTGGAGTTTTCTCCAGAACCTCTTGGTTACTGAGATATATTCGTATATCTCACCCCGTCTCGGGGCATTTATTTCAGGAGGTAGCAGTGGAGCAGGAGCCTCGGGCAAGAGGCCCGCAGAGTGAGCGCTGGAGCGCTTCATATTTTGCATTTTGTTGGCCGTGTGGCCTAGGCTAGACTTAGGGCATGAACATGTCATTTGTATTTATTAGTAGCTTCATTAGCATCTTGTTCATGCCATTTTGCCTAAGTCTAGTAGTGATGTATTTGGTTATGTTGTCTTTTAAATTAAGTTGAAATTTTAGAAGAATGTAATTTGAAGTTTTAGTTTCAAGTTGTAATTTGTAAAGCCATATTGTAATAGTATTGATGCATGTCTAATTATGATGGAAGGGCCTTAGGCCTATTTTAGGTTATGATAATATGTATGATGGAAATATGCATGAAAAAAGTGTTAGTGATTGCAACTACTTAAGAATGATTAATATGGACTCTATGTTTAATAACTATAAACTGGATTGGGTTGTAAGTGCCCCAAGGCGTTGTTGGTCCTTGTGTGTGCCACCCATTGGATTATTACTGTATTATCATGTGTTTATTAGGTACATTTGAGGTTTAAATGATCTTTTACAAATTTGGGATTATTGGAAAAACAAAGGAAACTCTGGCGAATTTTCTGTAGAATTGGCAGATTTTAGGCGAACTTCGGGAGAGCATATCTCCCTCCATAGAAGTCCCCTAGGGACTTGCCATACGCCATTTTGAAGGTTAAGATGTCCTCTACCTTGTGTCAAAATTTAAGGAAATTATGGGTTGATCTTCGGCCTGAAAAAAATAGAGAAACACGGACTGCCCATGTGCCCCTGCACCTGAGGCAGATTCTGGACCGGATTTGGGAAATTAATTCCCGCTTCGTTTCTCCGCCAAATTAAGCGTGTGATATATCAAAATGAAGTTTTAGATGTCTAGTTTGTGGGATAAAAATTTGAGAGCAAATGGTTGAGCGGATTGAGTGCAGTAATTCGAGTAATGTGAGTGGTTTGGAGCTGTTTTTGGGGTTGTTTGGGCTAATTGCTTATCCAACTTCAAACGGCGATAACCGGAGCAAATGAGCTCCGAATTGAGCGTATGATAGCTTGTTAAAAAGGGAATTAAGTAATACAAAAATATAATCTGAGAAGAAGGGTTGGTTGCGATCGGTTTGGTCGCAGAAAAATTTAGAGTGAAACATGTTCGAATTGGTAAAAATGTAAAGTTGGAAATAGGCTAAGTGAGTTTATGGGAACTCCTTAGTAACTCATAATAAATGATGTAAGTTATAAAAATAGTTGAAATAAGTCTTCCGCAAGAGTTACGGTTACGGTCACAGCTTTTAATTATTACGCCTTTTTATGATTTAAATGCTCGCGTAATAGTCGGAAAAAATTTATTCTCGTTTTTTTAAATGAACTGCTGTGATTGTAACTGCGCTTAATATCATAATTAATGTTAACAATACCGGTACGTAACGGGCTGTTACACTAAGTCTAGCCTAGGCCACACGGCCAACAAAATGCAAAATAAGAAACGCTCCATCGCTCACTCTGCGGGCCTCTTGCCCGAGGCTCCTGCTCCACTGCTACCTCCTGAAATAAATGCCCCGAGACGGGGTGAGATATACGAATATATCTCAGTAACCAAGAGGTTCTGGAGAAAACTCCACCCAATGGTTCACTTCGATGCATATCAATAGAATACAACAACCACTTTGAAAACGGGATATAGCAAGGGATTTAGAGAATGGGGAATATAAAGAAAACAAAATACGACGATACGGGATGGTAACCCCAATTCCACGTACGCCCTCGGCATATATAAGCCTATGGGTATCATCCAAGGTGTGTTCACAGAAACCACAACCATGATGCCCAAACCAACCAAAACGCCAAAGACATTCCTAGTGTGCTCCTACCCGGATCACACACCATGACCGCAGTCAACTGGAACTCCCTCCTGGAGACCTATCCAGCGGAAGTCCGAAAATGCCCGAAGGCTAATAAAACTGTCTACTGGCCAGAGACTCGGTACATAAGTACCCATAGCAATAATGCATGCATGCTCATGTGTTCTATACTATTCATACACACTTCCTACCGTTGCCATCAACTGGCAAGGTGGAACAGAAAAGGGGAACAAGCCCCAGTACCAAGAGGTTACCTTAATTCGTGTTTCCACAAGCTCCGCAGCAGCTTATCCCTCAACTCGGTACACAGCGGAATGCCTACACAGAGGACATTCCCAATCACTCTCAGTTCAACCCATACATGTTAATTTATAATTACACATGTAATGAACCAATTTCTTACCTCAATCCACTTGGTCCCGGACCAAGGGCAATTCACTGATTCAAGATTCGGGATTCAGGTCGACGTACGGCAACCTATACAATAACGTACATCCATCAGTACTCGTCAAATAGTATCAAAACGCAAAAACACAAACATCCTCCCCATCCTCCCTTGATGGTTCGGCCATTGTAGTGTAAATGTGAGATTTATTTTTCTAAATTTTCTTTCTCATTTTGTTACGTCTCATTAGGTTGTCAATAGGCCGGTTCAAGTGCCGGTTCGTCATTTTCGCGTCGAATTACATCAAAACGCGAAAATCGCCAAATCACCCCTTTTCCCCTTGGAGGTTCGGCCATGTAGGTGCAAATTTGAGATTTATTTTCCTAAATTTGCTTTCTCATTTTATAACACTCCCTTAGGTTGTTTAGAGGCTAGTTCAATCGTCGTTTTTCCGTTTTTCGACATTTACGCATCGTTTTGCGAAATATTTCATTCTGGGCTCATTTAGGTTTCTAACACAATTCATTTTTCTCCATTGATTCAAACACTCTCCAAGCACAACACAACCCATCTAAGCACCATATAACTACACAATTCATTATCCAAACCATTTTTCAACATCAATTCCACAATCTTTCCTCAAAGAATCGAATTTTAACCTATGGCATTCCAAGGAATTTCCATACAACCTTAATCATTCCAACCATCATACATCCTATTATATCATCATACCATCATGCCACCATCCTCAAACAAGTCTCAACACCAAAATTCACAATTCCAAAATCATGATCATCAATTTTTCTAAGTTAAAAATCATCACATTTCACTTAAAATTTTCATTGCATTTCTAGCATTACTACATCATTTTAAGGCATTATCATCTAATAGACATTTTCCATTTGAGCTCTCTAACACAACACATCATAAAATCCCTCTTTAGGGTTCATAAACACAATTCACCAATCAACCATTGAAATGTTGAAATAACTTACCCAAATGCAAGGCAAATGACTCCTCCTAGGTATACTCCACCATTGGAGCATTCCAAAGCTCCATGAACACCAAATTCCACAAGTGAGCCGCGGCCTTTGAGGGGGAGGATCTCAAAATCCAGCCACTTTCACGACTCAAGGATAGCACCAATGGCTTTAGAAGGCAATTTCCAACAAATTTCAAGTTAAACTTTGTTGAATTTGGTTAGGATTTGAGTGATTTAGGTGGGAAGAAAATTTGAAAGAAAACTTGGAGAAAGAAGGAAGGGGGCTCGGTTTTTGGCTGAAGGAGGGGTGAAGGAGGTGATGAATAGTACTTTGATGAGGTGTTTTAAGTGAATTTTAAGTGGGGTGGGTCCCACGCCACCTCACGCGATTTAAAACGCGTCCAAACTCTCACTAAACGTCCGTAAATTCAAAACTTATTTAGAAACTCTAATTTTTAACATTAACTATTCTCCTTTAATTATGCTTGATCAGATGAATTAAGAGTTCTCCACTCGTTCGGAGAAAACACTGTTTTAAGCTATTACGCGCGCCATTGGCACGCTTCCCCAAACTGTCTTAATTTCATCGAATATCATAAGAAATCATATTTCCTAACTCATTAGACCATTTTTAACTCATATTTGAAACCTAGAGCTCAAAATTCCACTGGCACATTTTACGGTGCAACACGCAACACTATTCACTGATTTTTCTGAAACTTGCCTATCCACTCAATTTTTCGTTCTGAACCCATTTCCGGGGTTATTTTTACCATATGAGACCTTCTACTCAATTTTTATCTTCCTAGGGTTGCGTGTTGGCTAATTACCGTTTTGCCCTTTCTTTGTATTTTGGCCAAATCTTTAGGATTTTCACTAATCCATCACTTGATTGCTCACTTAATATTTTAATTACTTGATTTAAAATCGTGAGGTGTTATACATTACAACTCATAAAATTGCATTATTGATATTCTGTCAAGAAAGTATTCGAATACTTTCTTGATGGTATTCAAATACTTGTGATGAGAACAAAGTATTCGAATACCTTAAGAAAAGTATTCGAATACCAGACGAAGTATTCGAATACTTCACGAAAAGTATTCAAATACTTACTAGACAGTAAGCAGTGTAACGACTAGTTTCGTCCCAACACCTATATAAACTCATCTATTACAAACCAGCAAGCCAAGTTTTACTATTCCATTGATTTTGCAATCATTCTTGATCATTCTCATTGATTTAAAATCTTTCATTGCTTGTTCTTTCTCATTTTGATCATAAAACTCCTTTGAGCTCTATTCTTGTGTCATTGGTTAATACCCATAAGCTTCAACTTGTATAATCTGTACTTTCAGAGTACAAATCCACTTCTAAACACTCTCATTCTATTTATTTGAGTTGAGGGTAGTGAGACCCTAGTGTAAAGGTTGCTCATAGCCTAAGAAAGTGAGTGGAAGTGTAAGTGTTTCAAGAACCAAAAGTCTTGAAGGTTGTAGTGGTTTATCAAGCACCCTTGAAGCTTGATCATTAGTGGAAAGTTGAACGAGCGGCTTCAATCTGGACGTAGGTCACGGTGGTGGTGACCGAACCAGGATATATAGTGTTTGCAATCTCTCTAACCCTTTATCTCATTACATTAGCATTATTTGATTACTTGAGCTTATTTAGATTTTCGCTTTGCATATTATTTGCTTGTATTGATTTATATTCTCTTAGCCTTACTTGTGTATAAATCATATTAATTTAAGAAAATCTTTTTCAAGAAAGAAAGTGAGGCATTTTGCGAAAATATTTTTAAAACTCAATTCACCCCCCTCTTGAGTTTGACGCCACTTGTCCAACAAGAGATTGTAAGGAAAAATAGAAGTAAATATTACCTCCCTCTATTAAATATTAAAAAAAAC